AACGTTTTTTATTTAATTTTTTTTATAAGTTGTGATTAAGATTACTGTTGTATTTGCTGTTTTTACTTGTCATCTGTTTCGGTATCATCAAATATAGATTTTGGTTTATTTCAACAACAGCACAAACAGAAGTCGATGCGTATTAAAAAGTGGCGTCATATTTAAATGCTTTCAGCCTGTTAAGATTTTGAGAAGTAGTTGTGAGCAGATGATTAAAAATGGATAAAATAAAATGTAAACTCTCCAGATTTAATGTCCTTGTTGTTAATTTTCGACACCGAAAATTTTATTGCTTCAGTTTTAAGTAAAAAGTTACGCTGCATCATAAATATCTTTTCTTTAAAACATCTAATTACAAATTCAAATAAATAAGATAGAATGTTATCAAAATTGTCATTACCGCATGTATGTTTTTAACTTAATATTTGTAGATATATTTATTCTGAGATATTTTACATTAAAACTGATCAAGTTTTTGTGACTCTTGATATCAAAAATTTGATCCATAGCAAGACAAGTCCTGATATTTCGTTTTTTGTTCATCATTCTTTAGTTTAACGTTTTCACTACTAGGATCTTTTTGTAATCTGATTTATTGACCATAGTCCAGTGATCAAAACAGTGTTGCTCCATTTCTTTTATTTATATGATGATCCTCCTATTTTACTTGTTCAGTATCCTTAGTATTTCGTTTCTCTTCTGTACGAGCCTGTATTATTTATCGTTGGGGAACAGACATTGAAGAGTCCGAAATAGGGTGATTTATAATTCGGTTTATAATTATTTTAACTTTCTGTCAATTTCTGTTAACTGTTAACTTTTCAATAATCATTTCGGACTCTTCAACGGGAGCAGGTATCGTTGGGGAGCAATTGCTAGTGGAGCAACTGTCGCAAGAGAGTAAGTGTCACGGGAGCCACTGTCAGCGGAGCAACTGTCATGTTACTGTGAAAAACAGTCAAAAAAGCACAGAATATAAACTACGTTCATTCTAAAACTAACTCACACTCTTAGATTGCAGCATGCGTACAAATGTAAATATAATAAAAATCACATTTGTGCGAATGTCATATTCTACTCATCAACAGCTATTTGATTCCGAATCACTTCAAAATCAATGAAATAAACTGACATTTACGAGGGAACCTCCTGAGGGCTAAAAGCCTTTTTGAATACGACTATTTTTACAAACGTAGGCCCTCTTAGGCTATGAAGAACCCCAGGTTGGTTCGGGCGCAGTCAGCTTTGTTCCTGAGATATAGAATATTTACTCGAATTTCTCCATGGGACCTGGATTTCAAGCAAAAACGGAGTTTTGAATTTCATGCTGTAACGTGTCACATATTGTGGCCCAGGCCGTTTCAACCGCCAATTGTAGTCCGATGAAAAAAGGCCGAGCCGAAAACCTCTTTCTGCAGCGGAGAAAGAACTTTTTCCATATGTGTACCAAAGGTAAAACATGGAGCAAGTTTTGAGAAAGTTCTTTCACCGCTGCTGAAAGGGGTTTTCGGGTCGGCCTCAGGAGGTTCCCTCGTTTGAAGTAGTGGAGTGTCACTTTAAGTGACGAAGTGTCACTCAAAGTGAGAGACACTTCGAAGTGTGTGCAGCAAAACTGGAGGTTATTTCCCACTTGAATTATCTGCATACACTTAAAGTGAGCTACTCCACAGTATCATCATCAGTTAATATGACTGTCGAATTTAGAAGAAGGATGATTATATATACTAGTTGAAACAGGGAAGAAAGAAAGCACTTAAAAAATTTCATCTCTCTCCTAAATTCGACAATCCTATTAGCCTGTTAATGATACTGTGAAGTATCACAAACTCGCTTTTTATGTAAAATGATTTTTCGATATACTTAGTTTTATAAAAAATGTAAAAAAGTCAAAGAATGTGAATATAATCATCTGCTTCAATTAATTTCAATATAAAGAAAAATTGTATCCAAAACATTTCATTTCAAACAAAACTATGATCGAGGAAAAGAATCTATTATATCTGCAAATTTGGAACCAATATTCTGGCGAAAGAAACAACCTTTGATTAACATGTCCATAATATAATCAGACTTGTGCAGTTTATCTATCATAGGTCGAACATTCTGTCTTTCTTCTATCTATATACGTGTTCAGAATATTTTTTCGTTCTCATTCGTCATGCATGGTGTCGGCTCTTAATATAATTACGATATATTGTTAGTCTATCTACGTAGAAAATAAAATAAAGATTGCTTTCAGAATGTGAAAAATACGAACATAAGTAAGGTTGTTTGTACATGTGATAGTTCACGGTTGCGAAAACACGTTCGGTTGCTTTTTATTATGTTCGATAGTACAACAAGAAAAACCTATCTGCATCTTTTTGCTTTATTTGCCCGATATCTAACCGATAAAGAAAAAAGATGCAGATACCTCATGCTACAGATTGGGAGTATGCACATATTTAACATCATCAGAGATCCTTACTCGATCAAACTGCTCACCAGTGTTTCTCATAAGATTTTTTCCAGAGTAGAACGATTTCGCCGTTCAGCATGTCAGGGGGGATTTAGTCACTTTGCACGAGGCTCACAGTGGGCCGGGGAGATACAGTAGATTTTTTTATCCACATTGGTTACAATTATCTGTCAAAAGTAGATTACAACGGCTAACGAAAGATAATCTAATTTGAATACTGAAACATTATTATAACAACAGTAAGAAGTTTTTCCAAGGGGAAAAAAGGGTTTTGGAATGGTATAGAATAGTACGAAATGGATTGGAATGGGCCATTCCAGACCATTCCAAAATGGTCAGAAATGTTTGGAATTGTATGGAATGGTACGGAATGGCCTGAAATGGCCCATTCCGCCTTTTCCCCCTTGAGTTTTTCACACAACTAATTTTGATTAGTTACATGAAAAGAACCAAATAAGTGTAATGTTGCACAAAACTGCTAAAGTAAACTCATTCTCTCCGTTCTATATACTAGACAACGATTGAAGTTGTGCAATTACATTGTACCGTAGTCATTAGTGACCCACAGAACTTTTTTAACGCGCATAACATTAAACTGTATACGTACAGGCTTTCTGAAAATAGAGAACTGATGCATTAGTTACAGTAGAACGCATATTCACTAACTATTGATTGATATATACATATCAATCAATATCTAATTTAGATGCTCGTAATGCTGCCTATTTCGGGATTAAATAATCATTGATAAACGAGCTAATTTGAATTCTCGCCTGCTAGTAGCCCAACGGTAACCTCACGTACTTGAAGTCCGTACCCTATAAGAAGTATTTTTTTGAAAATTCCCCTAGGGCATTTTCCGATTTTTTTCGCGGACATAATAGAAGACCATGGTCTTCTATTTGGCTTTCAAGTCATATCGGCAGTGGTCTTCTAATAGGGGACGGTCTTCTATTATGAGGGGGGGGGGTTACTAGGAAGTATACACAATAATACTTCTTAGTATTCAAACTAGCTCTTTATATGACTCATTACTTGGATGTAACAACTCTTTCAGTTGGTTGATCGTTCTTTGGAACATAGTATACTACAGAACAATGAACTAGAAAAAGTAACTCGACATAATAGCCTCGATCTTCCGAAAAATGTTGTGATTAATCGATCCCAGCAGCAATAGAGCTCAGACGAAGGCAATTCACATAAAGACTAATATTAACAAGTATTTGTAATGTTTTCTACCATCAGACTACAGATGCATACTTTAAATGCATAACAGAGTTAGTGCTGACAGAAAAGAGAAAAACAAGAAAAAGGTAAAAGTTGTCATAGTTTTGTTGATTACTATGATTCATAACTACAGGTAACACGATAACTCATGTATTTTTCATTGAAAAGAATCAACGTAGTATTATATGTTTTTTTTTCCTATACTGTTTCAAAGTAGCAGTGTATATATTACTTTTAAGAGCCATTGCACGTTAGACAATTGCCCAGATTAGTCAATCAATGTCTTTTGTTTTTTTCAAAGTCTTTTGTTCATACTTGCACAGTAGGCAGCGGCTCACTTAGAAATCCCAAAAGGTTTTCACTGAACTTCCTTCCTCCAAAAGTTGTGCACTTTTCGTAAAAGTCCTGAAAACGGGCTGAAATGGTAACTATATAAAAGGATACTTTCGGATTTATAGCATATTCAACTTCAGTTTTGCCGGTTTATTATAACGGTTCCTGGCATAATCTGTTGTGATAAACCAGCAAGGCTGATATTAAATGCTGAACATATTTTTCAGACAAAACAAATTATGCTTAAGTCTTCGCGCTAGTAAAATTCTTTCTTGTTGTGCGTGTATGTTTGCATATGCTCTTGGTTATAGATAGTACTAGACCTCGACTACTTATGCTCAAAGTGTGGACTCTTCATGTACTTCTTAGACCAAGAGATAAACAAAAGAAATTTCACTTTAATATAGTTATCGTTTCAGCCCGTTTTTAGGACTTTTATGAAAAATTCCATAACTTTTGAAGGAAGAAAGTTCTAATGAAAATCTTTTGGGAATCTTCCTAAGTGAGTCGCTGCTACTTACTGTGCAAGTATGAACAAAAACTCAGACATTCATTGAGCAACTTATGCAAGAAACGATTGTCTTTACAGTGCAATGGCTCTTAACTACAATATAATTCTCCTTTAGCTATAATGTCGGCGGTACAGTCAAAATTCGAAGATCTTCCAGATGAGATTCTTCTTGAAGTATGCGAGTTTCTATCACAGTATGATGTTCTCCATTCATTTCTTCAAATTAATTCACGATTAAATCGAACAATTGGAGAATATCAGAAAAATATCAGTCTCTCTAGTGAACTTACATTCAATCAATTTACTGACTATTGCACGTGTATTTTCCCTTGGATTGGTCAAAATATTTCACACTTAACTTTGAGCAATGTGCATTTACCGAATCAAATTCGGCTATTTTCTGGTCATGATCAGTTGAAACACTTAATAAATCTGAATCATTTGGTTTTACTAGCCTTTGGAAATAACGATATGGAATTATTGATTACTATTCCAAAACTAAAAAATTTGCATGAATTGTCTCTTCGTTGTGGTGACGGTTATGAAAATTTCAAGTGGTCATCATTAATCGATTATTACGTATTCTGTGAAAAAAACACATTGAAAAAAGTTTATATTTCGCTATCGGAAGGTATGACATTAAATTCACCAATAAAACAAAATTACATTTTGAATGATTTGAGAATATCTGTGCAAACGTTGGACGATTTATATCGAATATTTGAAATTTTGCCAAATATAACTCGATTACGCGTGAATGTAGCAACACATAACGCATCACAGTTGATTCCATTACAGGCACATTATCCAAAATGCCTTAATGCGTTTCATATAGAAACCTACGATACACAGGTGATGCTATTTGATGATATGCAATGTTTATTAAGAAATCTACCAACAATAACACATTTTTCACTTGAAATACACACATGCGATAAGTACTATTTAGATGGAAACAGTTGGGAATCAATGTTAAGTACCTGTTTACCCCAAATATCTCAATTTTATATGATGATTCGCTATCATGATAACAATTTTATCGATGTTAATGCCGTTCTAGAAAAGTTTTCAACTGAGTTTTGGTTGAACGAGAAAAAATGGTTTGTTGCGTGTTATATGAGCAATACGATAGTCTATCTGGATACAGTACCGCATGTTCTCCTCAATAAATGTGACGTGCTGGAAACTACAATACACATGTCCAACCTGAAATCAACAGGTGGTTGTGTTCAAAGTAAATATGTTCAAGAAATATCCATTGATGGACATCACGAACACTTTTCTATGACTGAGTGGTTTCAAATCATCAATCAATTTCCTTTTATCAGAAAACTAGATTTATCTAGTATAAATACTTTCGGATTTGCTTCTTTATCAGTGAAATTTTCTCATTTAGTTAGTCTTCATCATCTCGGAATCTATCGATCGTATCAAAATCGAACAAATATTAATTTCTTCACACATATGATAAAAATGATGCCGAAACTCAAACGTTTATCAATATACTATACAGAACTTATATATCTTACAAAACAGTTGAATGATGCAGAAAATCTTTGTTGCGGAATCGAATATTTAGATATCATATCAACAGCTAAGATTGACGGTCAAATCATTGCTGCCGATATTGACAAAGTGTCATCACTATTTCGCAACATCAAACATCTAAAATTTCATCTAACATCGATTCGAGTTATGAAACCCAAATATAGAGAGACACTTTTGATTAAAATGTTAAATGACTTCTCGAATTTGATCAGTTTCAATATGATTTGTTCAAAAACAAATTTGAAATTTCATTTCTTAGAAAGTGGTCAACTAAACAAATGGTTGAAAACAAATGTTGATAAACTGATGAATAATGAAGAAGCATTGTACACATCATATAGTAAAACCTGTTTTCAGTTGTGGTTCTAAGCTAGTATATGTTTGCTTCTTTACTGTATTATTGATCTGTATTGTTAAACATGATTGAAACGAAAAAATTAATTTTATTTTTCTCTATAGATCCAAGCATTAAAAAAAATTTGGTATCACCTAATCCATCTAGATTACTGGATTTTTACTCAACTGCAATGATTTCGTAACGATAGTGGAAATCTAGTAATCGGGCGATTGCTACATTTCTCCTTAGTTGCAATCATCGATTTATTGTCCAATAATCGATAGATTTAACTATTACTAGTTGTACATGCAGACGCATCTAGTTAAAAGTCCTTTTCTAACTAGTAATCTGGATGATAATTAGTCATGTATCGCTCGATTACAGATGAAATGTATCTAGACTTTTCCTATAGGTGATGTTTGTGTGGGGATGACATTAGAAATGAATCATTTAGTGTATACGCAATTACAAAAAGGAAGAACTACAAGGTGAAATAAAAAAAAAATGAATATGTCATGTAAAAGAAACACAGCTATTAACGACAAAAAATGTCGAAGACTCATGTTTTTCTTTGATAAACATTTTCAACATCAATTACGCATGATAGTATACAAACAACGTGATACAGTCCTCTACCGAATGTAAAATTGGATACATTAGTGGTAGAAAAAGGTCAAACGAATGGTAAACTTACTTTTCAATGAAAAAGTTCACTTGTCTTAACTCATTCTTACTCAAATTAGGCCATATTTTTCTATTTATTGGAAAAATGTTCCAGTTCTGTTTTGGTATGTTGTTTTTGGGTATTGCTAAAAGACCCGAACACCCACGAACATGCCCAAACTAAAATCTGAGTTAGCCAATCGATAGAGCTGGTCGAGCTGAGTGTAGCAATCCCTAACGAGCACCCAAAAAACTTTTTATAGTTTCACCTTTTAAGCATACATTTTGAATGAACACCCACGAACACAAAGAAGAAAGGTTAAGAACACCCAAAAAAGTGCGCCAAATTCATCTCCAGGTTATTCTGGGCTGAGGGTGAGATGGTGGTAGGCTCGCCCACACCATACCCTCAACCCGTGTGTGTGTGTAGACCTCAGCCCGCCGTTCGTGAGTGTTAGCGTCTTTTAGCAATACCTGTTGTTTTTCTTACATACAGTGTGTGTAAGAAGTATTTGAACACTGTAAGAAGCTTCTCTTGGGAGCTCATTATCTCTCAAAATAAAAGAGATAAGAAAATTATTATTTTACTGTTGGATAGAACGAAGTCTTCTCTACATTTCAGTCTACTTGAACAAAATTTAACTGTCTTAGATGAGTCTATAATGAGTCGTCTTTTACATTCAGTTGGCTTTTGGAACGGAATAAGTATTCGGACATTTCTTTTCTCTATGGTTTTTGACATTTCTCAAGTAGAAATGGATCTTTCAGATATACAATTCAAAAGAGCATCGTCTCGGCTTTCTAATGAAAAAAGAATAATCAGAAAAAGTGCTTTCTAAAGATCACAAGATTGAAAATTACGGATACCACCCTGAAATTTATTTAAAACCCGAACATTCTGCACAAATGAGCTATTTTCCGGGGTAGATAATTAAAGAACAGCTGAGTTACACATACTGTCATTCAAAGATACCACACTCCATGTTTTTTCCCTGTCCATTTTAATCTTATAATGTAGTTGCTGTCTTTTTAATTATCTTTTTTTCGTGTTTTTGTTTTCTGTTTTTGACTGTTCCCATTATACCCGCCAGGGTACTCGGATCGCGGTGGGAGTTATGTGACGATTCTTTGTCACAACTTCTGCTTCCACTATGCACAGATCGTCTTCGGGTAGAGCTACTCTCTTTCGTTTCGTTCTTTCCGTTGTCTTGTTCTGTTGTTTCTTCGTTTTGCTCTTTTGCTGTTCTTATTTTTTGTGATGCAGTACTAAATATATATATATATATTCGGTGTTTTTCCTTTGTTTGGGTCAGTAGGTTGTAGTTTTATCAGAAGAGTGGGCGAGTTGAATAAAAGAATAATATATACAAATATGTATCGTAGCACGCATAAAATAAACTCAAGGACTTATACTTGGAGGAAATTTAACCCGTCACACCCTTCACATACGGACAACAGTGATTCTCGATTCATGACGCGTTAGCATAAACGAAAGTCGAAGGACTGCAACTGAAATATTGTCGGATTAAAGTGCGATTAGGGGTAGCATTGAAATCTTGAGCCAAAAACCAATGAATTTCAGAGATCTTTGAACGATGCATATATTAGTCATTCAAAACAATTAATTTTCTGTCCTTCATAATAAATGCAGAATGATGGAAGGCGCCCTTTTCAGAGATTCAACATTCAGGCGGTATCAGAACGACGCTTTAGAATATTCATGCACATTTAGTCAAATAACATAGGTTGGTTTTCGAATGTAGAAATGCAAGCAACACTATTCTCGTATCCGAACTTTAAGAAAAGAATTTGTCTGATGACAATCAATTAGCAACGGATGTGTCGCAGTTCGCCAATTCAACTTTCGCCAATGTTCGCCAGTAGACATTCGCCAATTCGCCAATAGGCGAATGTCCAAAACAGTTGGCGAATGTCAATGAGACATTCGCCACGAGACATCCGCCAATCGACCAATTGGCGAATGTCAGAACAATGGCGAATGTCGTGTGGACATTCACCATAATTGGCGAATGTCGTAGGGGTACTGGCGAATGTCCACATGACACAGTGGCCAGTATGGCGAATGTCTATTGGCGAAAGTTGAATTGGCGAAACGCGACTTTACCATTAGCAACACACGCGTGTCAACTACAACAGAGCAGAAGTAGGACATCTACGAGTTGGTAATTAAAATTATTCTTCAACAATTGTCGACTAGTCAAAGTAAATAGAAATAATATTGGTGCAGAAAAAAAAAGAAAACTTCGTAACAATTAAAGCTGCTTCGTCAAATTGATTTTTAATCACCACAAATTGGATTCTCTTTTGCATTCGCTCTCACATCAAGATTTCGTGATACTTAGAGTCATTTTTATTTGTCTTTCGATTTTTGTAGAAGGTCAGTTGCATTTCTGACAAGTTATAAATTTCCAGAACTCTGGCAGACTGTGCGAGACCAGGAAACGCTGTTTCGATCGATATTCAGATTTACCGTATAGAACGAGCAAAGTGATCGCTCGAAGGATGAATCCGATTGCGAATAGCAACAGATAAGGATGCTCATCGTTGCTGTACGAGTAATATTTACGTATCACTTCGATTTGTGTATTCCATCGATGATTGTCAATATTTTGCATGTATACGTTCGTCTCATGACGAAAGAGAAGATGTTGTGCATGACGGGAGAACGATAGCGACACGATGAAGCCGAGACCACCGAGATCGGTCTTGGTAGGGCTGAAGCCAGACAGGAGACATGAGAGAAGGGCAACAAGTGTGCCAGCAAGATAGGCGAATTCTGTACGTTCGAACAGAACCGATGTACACTGTCCGATTCCGGAACAGACAAATGAGAGGAGGATCATTACTCCCAGATAAAAGTTGTACGAACCACGCGGATCGATGCAAATGAAGAATAGAGTGAGGAATAGCAACGGATAGATGACCATACGCAGCACATCGACGATCGTTTTTGCTAGCCAGTATTGAAAAGGATGGTAAAAATTACGGCTCTCGCGTTTGAACGTGTGATTGGTAATTTCGACGCCGAACAATCGCTGGCTTGATACACATGTGGTGATGCCAAACGCAAGTGACATCATAAAGTAGACGGTTGTTAACAGTTCAATGTCGCATTTCTCTCGATCATTTTGGAATAAGTAGCCAAGGCAAAGTCCGAACAATCCGTAAGCCGAACAATAGAGTGCTTCGGCGAGAGGACTGCGAAGGAACATTTGTCGCATTGTCCGACGCATTATGTACCAAAAAGGAAGAAAAGCTCGTATTTTCCAATCAAATGTCTCCAGTACTTGGTCTATAACCTGCTTCTGAGCATCGTGATTATTGATGAGCGGCGGAGCGTGGGTCAGAATCATGAAGCATGAATCGCAAACGTTATGTTTGGGCCTTGGACGATCTCGAACAGGAACGTTTGCCAAAATAACATCGTCAAGTTTCTCTTTTGCCACCGAGCACACACCCTGGTAGGCCAAGCAGCAATGAGCTGTCAGAAAGAGAACATCATCGATTTGCTGAAACAGTTCTTGGCTAGGCTGATGGATGACCATAACGATTGTCACGGGGCCGGCTTCACTGTGTTTGATCAGTCTCAATAAGTCGAACAATTTATCACAGGCTATTGTGTCGAGACCTGACGTTGGCTCGTCCAATAGTAAGACTTTGGGACAGGAGGCGATTTCCATGGCAATGTTGACACGCTTTTTTTGCCCTAGAGGATTTATAGTTGATTGCGAGCTTCGAAGAGCATCCGACTGATCCTCAACCGTGATTTTCTAAAAACTGTGGGAATAGCACAGCAACTTACAATTTTACGTAAAACTTGCTGTAATTTTTCGTATTTTCCCACACCAGGATAGTAATCCTTCACGATTTGAACAAAAAACTCTAAAGGATTATCTTGACCTATCCATTGCTATAGTAAAATATAACAGAATTATCGCTTATACAGAAGGATGAATCTTTGACACTCGCTCGAACTTTGACTAGCATTGTCATGTGATATGATGTTGCTATCGAAACAGGAAGAAATTGCCCATTCAAAACGGCTGAATTCAGCGGACTTTTTCGCTGTTTCTTTTTCAACATTCGATCGGAAGACTAGACGTATTAATAAAATATTAGGCTGAATCACATCTGAAAAGCAACTTTTCGGCATTTGGAGGGCGTTCACATCTCAGAAAATTGAGCATGCTTACTTTTCTTAGACTTTTCGTAAGTTCTCAAATGCAATTTCGCATTTAACGATTTCTGAGTACTTTAAAACGAAAAATATGCATAGAACAAACGGAAGTATAAGCATCTATGTGACTTAGAACAAGATAAAACAAAGTTCTTCTCCTGTACCACAGTG